ACTATTCTTTTCACATTAGTAGATATAATAGAATCTCTGAGAAGCGTGAATGTGCTTGAGAGGGGGCACTGTGACTGAGAGTGGGCATGTTGTGCAAAAACTCTGAAAGCTCGATGTGCTACATAATTTGGCAAGATATAACATAAACATAATCAACTGAAGTAGGGGATTATATTACATGAGGACTTTTACTCAAGTATACAGGGAGAAATATCTATATGTATTAAATAAAGGAGATTTTCACAGATTTCAGGGGAAAACCATCTCATGTTTTTCTTTGGAACAGACATTAAAAAGATGAAAGAGGAACAAGAGGGAGATGTACATGTCACAGAAGCTTGATTAACCGTTGCACATTTGCATTATTGCAGTAGGCTATATCTTACATCTTAAACACCCCCCCCCCTTCAAAATTAGTGTCTGTATGTGCCAGTATATTTGCGTTCTTCTGTTCTGATCTCAACCACCAGAAACCTCTATACAATCTGCACTATATCTGGCAAGCATCCAATGAGGTTGTTTATAAATCACCTTGCTGTCTACTTTTCTTATTCATCATACTATATATCTTTAACATAGCCTAGATATAAGACGATCTATTGCATAAAGAAATACATAAATGAAAAAAATGAAAAGAAGCTGCTGGACTGACCACCCCAGAGTCCAGAACTCAGCATCACTGAGACTTTGGAGGTATATACATGTACTTTTTTTCCCACACCTCCAAAGTCTCAGTGATGCTGAGTTCTGGACTCTGGGGTGGTCAGTCCAGCAGCTTCTTTTCATTTTTTTCATTTATGTATTTCTTTATGCAATTAGATCATCTTATATCTAATCTCCTTAGAAATATCTCCTAAAAAAGTAAATTATTTATTATACTTAACAGCCATTTTGACTGGAAATGAAATAACAGAAGGGTGGTATCTGACTTTTGCACTGTATAATCAGGGTAATGTTGACTTTCTGCTGTTTTGTCAAGGTTATAAAATAATTATGAATGATTGAACAATGGAAAAATACTTTTAGGTTTATTGGGAAGTGCAGCATTATTATATCAGAAAAACGACTCACTCATTTACAGAACTCATCTCGTGTTTGACACAGTTATGCCCAACAGTTTTCACAAAAAAGAAAACACTCTGTTTGATGCTTCAATTACATGCAAAGTGAGTCAAGACGTTGTAAGAGACACGCAACATCTATCATCAATTTTAGCTGTCTTTCATCAAAGAGCTCCTAAAAAGAGAGTGGGAGCCAATTTTTGTTTCAAACAAATGGTAAACTCCAACATGTTGCCTTGACTGAATCAACTCATACATTCAAGTAAAGATTCTTTTTATGTGTTTTATGGTCTTTTACAACTGTCATTTCTAAGTTTAAGATGATGGGTATCTGAGAATCCCTGCGATGGACTGGCGACCTGTCCAGGGTGTATCCTGCCTTCCGCCCAATGACTGCTGGGATAGGCTCCAGCTCCCCCTGCGAACCAGAAGGATAAGTGGCTTAGAAAATGTGTATGTGTGGGGGTATCTGAGAAAGAAGAAGTGTCAAAACCCAATTACAATGTCTCTCCTAACAACATATAGTCATTCTCTATTAGTTATTCTTGACTGTCAAATATATTGGATCAGGAGTAGCCTTCCTGATCTGGAAAAATGAAAGATGAGGAATGCTGATTGGCACAGGGCTGGTGTTTTGTTGCTATTTCTTGCCTGTCAAGCAATTTTTCACAAGAAATAAGATGTAACATGTTTAGCATCACTGTTGGAACAAAACCTAGTATCAAGAACCCTTACTGGTGCCATATAGAACAATTTTCAAAAAGGTTCTATATAGAACAATATACAACACATTCTCCATCAACCTGAAGAACCACTTCTCCATGCAAAGAACCGTTTAAATATGAAATAATTCTAGGTGGACCAAATGGTTCTAAATAGAACCAATGCCTTTTCTAAAGAACCCTTGAAGAACTATCTTTTTTGAAGTGCAGAATGTACTTCAAAAAAAAATATTCATGAATCAAGTTTATGCATATACTGTATAGCCTCCATTTCCAAGAACACAAACCTCTACTCAGTACTGCATATCAGTCCTGTAGCTTGGGGAATAGTTGTTAAATTTGTTACCGAAATTAGAGTCTGTCTGTGCCAGTATATTTGCGTTCTTTTTTGGGCACATTATGCATGTAATCTACCCGGCATGCATGTAAAGTCAAAAAGTGTCAGGAAACACGTATTCTCTCACTCTCTTTAAGTGCAGTTTGGTTTCAGATTGACAAGGGCAAGCCGTGTGCCAAGGAAATCTTTGACAGTGGCTCTGCAAGTTCAAACTAAAGACAGAAAAACATTTGAATGGGCCCATATTATTCAGAAAAAAAGCTCTCCTTTAATGTCCGCAAAACATTTGTTTGTTCTTCATAAAGGCGTCCTATGACAATATCTCACTCTTGCCATTTACAGCTCAGAGCCAAAGAGGGGCAACAAATCAATTCTCACATCGGCACACCTCTGAGTATCAAGTTTACTAGGAACTGTTATGCAAATAAGTTGCTACATGATCAGATGTGAAGTTTTTGGTACAGATCAGTTTTTTAAAGAAGGGCGTCTAGCATTTCTTGGAATGGCTGGCTATTACAAACACCCAAACGATTTCTGTTGTAGTAAGGTGCCTGATTTGGTGGTGCATTTTGCCTCTTGATGATTTCTTGATAAATCATCAGAGCTCTTCATCATAAAAACAACTCAGAACAGCCTACGTGGGAAGCATGTGAGAAATTACATCACTGCTCCAACAACTGGACTACAAAAACAAAGTCTGGAGTCCCACAAATCTGAAACTTCACGGTGATCTAGATCTAGACTCTGTCTTTCAGTTGGAATTGCAAGAGTGCTGCCTATGTTTAGGGGTAAATACTATCCTAAGGCAGCATGGAGAAAGGTGCAGGTTGTAAAAACAACTGAACAAGTGAAATTGTTGTGATCTACCCGGCACACTTATTTTTGGCACCTGGAAGGTGCTGATTCTATCAGGTGGGAGGGAAAATACATACCATAGAAAAGAGCTTAACACCTCTTCTAGTATATGCCAAGGTGAAAATGAAGGGAGCATATGCGACTAACATTCTGACATCAGAACCACAAAAAGTTGTTGCCACCACCTTTGGAGGCATCCCAACAATTAACTGTTTGTTTAATCAAACATGAGGTCATATTATGACTCACAACAAAGAATTAAACAACCAAGCATCAGCACCTGCTTCACAAATTAGCATCAGGAAACCACTTGCTTCTGCTCATATCTCAACCACCAGAAGCTCCTACACACACTGCACTATTTCTGGCAAGCATCCAACAACATTGTTTATAAGTTACCTTGAAGCCTACCTTTTTTATTCAGTCCGCTACACTGTCTGCAGTTTCATTCATTCCTGCTCTTTTTTTGTTTTTCTAACTTCTTTACAAGTACTTTTTATGTGTACTAGTCTGTGATGTGATGTGCTGAATATATCAAATTTGAGTATACAATCTACTGTGCTGTGAAAATGTCAGAGACCACCCTTCATTTATTTAATTACCAAGATATTTTTGTGTCAGAGAAAAAATGCAGAAAACATTCATTTAATAGAAAATTGCACCAACAACTAAAGATATAAACATTATATGTGATTTTTTTTAAATATGCAAAATGTATTTACCTGTCATTTTTGAATCTCTAAATATATGCACATATATGTCAATATATGAAAGAGTGTGCATTTTAATAGTTAAATATATTTGATCTATATGTGTAAATATATTACAAACTTGATACATTTTTTTTGAAAAATACATGCAAATTTTTTTTTTATTACTCCCCTGGTTCCACGGTTCCTGAGTGTGCCTCTCCTTTCCCCTAACCACCTCAAATCTCCCCCTCAGGCTCCCACTCCTCTTTAAGTTTATGACTGTTCCCTGCTTTATGCAACTGGATTATTATCTAATCTCCTTAGAAATATCTCCTGAAAATGAATATTTATTGTATTTAACAGCCATTTTCACTGGAAATTAAATAACAGACAGGTGGTCTCTGAATTTTTTTAGGGAAATGATGACTTTCTGGATGGTTAGTTTTGCTAAGGATGTAAAATAATTATAAATGATTGGATAATGGAAAAATACTTTTAGGTTTATTGGGAAGAGCAGCATTATTTTATCAGAAAAAGGACACACTCATTTACATAACTCATCAGAGCAATTATGCCCAACAGTTTTCTAAATAAAAAAAAAAACATTCCATTAGATGCTTCAATTACATGCAAAGTGAGATGTTGTGAGTGGCACGCAACATCTATCACACCGATCATTCTCGGCTGTCTTTCTTTTCCGAAAAGAGCTTCTAAAGTGAGGGTGGGGGCCAATTTGCGTTCAAAGTCAGTTTGTTTGTTCAGCATTTACAGACTTACTTTACTTGCTTAGCTGTTGGTTTCAAACAAATGGTTCAACCATTCAAGCTTCAACATATTGCCTTGACTGAATCAAGTTATTCATACATTCAAGTAAAGATTCTTTTTGTGTGTAGCAAGTTTAGTTTTATGGTCTTTTACAACTGTTTCATTTAAAAGTTTAAGATGATGTGTATCTGAGAAAGCAGCAACGTCTCTCCTAACAACATACAGTCATTCTCTAATAATCATCTTTGTGATAATTCTTCCTGATCTGGAAAAATGAAAGATGAGTAATGCTGACTGGGACAGGACTGGTGAAACAAGTTTTTCCCCTCAAAGATCATCTATTTTTGTCTGAGGTACTGGTGTTGTTTTTATTTTATCTCTGAATTCTATGTCTGAACAGCTCATGTATACGTGTATACATACATACATATATATATATATATATATATATATATATATATATATATATATATGACAGAGAGAGAGAGAGAGAGATGACTCCTTACAAACTATGGATTCTTGTGGTCACATTACATTTATATTAAAATAATTTAAGTTTAACACGGGATACCTTTTTCATTCTTTTATTTTAAAAAATCAGCAGGCATACATTGCAGAAAATTTTATTCAACATTCATTTTCACCCTTACATGTAAAATACATCACCACTTTCCATTAAACAGACAAACAAGACAAAGATAAAAAAAAACTGACAGGATCAAATTACAGTTGTAGACTTAAGAGTGCTGCATCACATGCATTTCTGTAAGGTTACTCTGCCAGTTGAAGGTCTTTTTTTTAGCCTTGTTTGGCTTCATAATAGGTGCACTTGGTCTTGGTGATATGATCAGTGAAGAGAGAGAGATAGGTGGAATGGCATTATGTCAGCAGCAGGCCTAGGTTAGAGCTGCTGGTGTCAGGGGCCTTTGGGGAGTGTCATGCATATCACATGCTGAGTAGGCTGTTCCTGTGGGAATCTGTTCTAATCTCACACTCACGGGATCATCTCAGAATTCATCTGAAGCAGTCCACTCTAAACGTGAGTAACGTGAAACTTTTTGGCCTTCACCAGACTTTGGCTGGAATTCATCATGCAACTTTGTGTCTATTCTCAGTCCAGTCCCGTCACACTTCTGTACCCTCTCGGGGGTAGAGAATTCCAGTCGAGCTCAACCCAGGGTAGAAATGGCCATTGAACTGGTTGAGAGTGGGGCTGCTGTAACTTAAAGAGGAGTGGGAGCCTGAGGGGGAGATTGGAGGAGGTGGGGGAAGCGGAGAGGCCCACTCAGGAATCGTGGAACCAGGGGAGTAAGAGCCAAAGCTTGTGGGTTGGGGGGCTCTCTGTGTGCCATCCACTGGTAGACTGAGAGCAAGAGGCCGGTTGAGGGGGTCGCCCCTCACCTCCACTGATCCGACCACCCCAGACATCTCTGTCAGGAAGTTGCTGAGGCAAGGCGAGGGACCTGTGGATGGAGGAGAAAGGCCTTTCTCAGGTGAGGCTGAAATGTCAATGGCTGGATTTTTAGGGCTACCCCTGCCGCTGCCATCTCCTGACTCCGTGCTGAGAGACCCTGCAGAACTGCCCTCTCCAGTGAGACCGTCTGACTTTCTCTTCCTCTTGCGCCTGAAGTTGCCATTGTCGAACATCTTTTCACAGTTTGGGTCAAGAGTCCAGTAATTACCCTTGCCTTGAAGGTGAGAGAGAAGGAAAAGCTTTGATTTGATTGAAAATTGATTGCAAATTGAAGCAAAAACAACAATCACACTATAAAATAGCTTAACCACCATTACTGAAAATTCGCTAAGAACAGTTAAAAAAAACAAACACATTCAAGAGCTCTTACCAGGGTCATCTTCATCCCGAGGTACCTTCTTGAAACAGTCGTTCAGAGACAGGTTGTGGCGAATGGAGTTCTGCCAGCCAGCCTTGCTCTTGTTGTAGAAAGGGAAGTTATCTGCTACGTACTGGTATATCTGACTGAGAGTCAGGCGCCGGTCTGGAGCACCATGTATCGCCATTGCAATGAGAGCTGAGTATGAGTAAGGTGGTCTGACCAGCTTCATAAGGTCCTCTTGAGAGGGCATGGAGAACCAGCTCAGCTCTCCACCAGCTCCTGCAGGACCCCCAGGCCCAAGGTAGGGCCTCTGCATGCCATAGTGCTGAGGCACAAAGGGGGGACCTGCAGGACCTGGTGCTCCACCAAGATATGGGGAACTGTTAATCCCAGTTCCATTGAACCACAGGTAGGGGTTAGGTGACGAAGCCGCGTATTCTCCAAGGTCATACGAGGAGGGGTTGGTCCTCTGTGGACTCGGCAGTGACGGAGGAGGATAGTAGTTGTCGCTGTATAGGCTCAGCTCTGGAGGCTCCTGTCCCAAGCTGGGGAACTGGGGACCACATCGAGTAGGAGACTGACCTTGTTCGTATGATGTCATGATGAGTGCTTCATAAGGTGCTCCTCTCTGGATTAAAACAGGTCAAGCAGTTCCAGGTATTAGATGCTGTTTCTTCTTTGGTCTTATGGTCCAGAAATCTTTCTTGTTTTGCTTGTCTTCAGGACTGATTCTCAGTTGAGAGACCTGCATATATCTTTTCCTTACTCTGCCACTGTTTGCCCTTGTACTCTTGTCACCTGTCGCACCTGTTTTATTTATGCATACCTGGCACCGCCCTTCCCTCTTCTCATTGGTTACTTTCCCTTTCTAGTGTTTTGAGTAGATTCACTCTTTTGTCAGTCAGTTTTACTGACACTCAACAGGCTTGAGAAATTAGTCTTTACTGAAAGGACTTGAGACATGGGCATTCAAACCTAATTTCAGGTTTATCATTTTTCATTTTGATAGTACAATATATTAACAAATATACAGTAAGAGCAGCATCTTTCATTTTGCTTTCTGAGTATACAAAAAGATCATTTCAGATTAATAAAAGTTCTCAATAATAAAAGTTCTCAATAAAACTTAAAAAAAAACTGTTACTGTGCTGATTGATAAAGAATTGCATCAATTTAAATGGATGTTCTGTTTGTTGTGATAAGACAAAGACAGCTGACACTCTCAACAAATGTCTGAAAATTTCTGAAAAAAAGTGTTGCCTCAGTGATGTTTACGGAGCTTATTCTAAAATATGGGCATAATAAACCAGACACCATAGTGGCCTATAGAATGAGAGGGGACAGAAAACCCGGCAAGATTACCACAGCCTATCTACTAGATTACATTTTAGCAGATGTAATTTAGATTTCTAAATTATTAACCTGAAAATAGTAACCTGATCTCCAAAATTTCAGGCTACTAATAACGGCAAGCCTTTTAGGCTATTTGATTATTAGTGCTATCTTAAATGTCTTACCTAATATTGTTGTAAGCAATTAAGCAATTTATTTAATCAAAAACAGTGCTGCAATGTAAGCTAGAGTGAAAAATGTAAATAAATAAATACATTAAATAAGTAAACGTTGTGATTCGGCTCGCTGCAGAAGTTTTTTTTTTTCAGAAGTTAAGCTCGAACTCTCAATGTCTCACTTTATTCACAGTCACATAAGTTTTTGTTTTGTATTTTGTCGAGGACAAACGCTCTCGCTTAGAGAGCAGAGTTTTTTGAGTAACTTACTTTATTAAGTAAAGTAAGTTACAAAGAAAACATTTGCATAGGGTATTTTTTAAATGCTTATTGGCAAGACTTCGGCTTTTGCACACTATAAAGGCTCATACGGGTTTAACTTGATGTGATTCATGCTTTGAGAAAGAAAATAACTTGGCCAGAACCTTTACTGTCTCTGCCAGGTTTTAGTCTAACAACAGATGGCTGACAGCACTATTTGCACAGACAGTTTGAAGGCTACTCTCTTAAAATGATGGTTCTTTAAGGGTTTTCTAGTAAAGAAAAAAATATTCTTTATAGAACCATGAACATTCAAAGAACACTGTGCATGATGAGAGGTTTCTTTGCATCATTAAAGCTGGGTTTTTCAGATGGATGGAGAATGTAGTGTAGATGGTTCTATATGGAACCTTTTTTGAAAAATGTTCACAAAAAGTACCCTTTTTGTGGTATATAGAACTCTTTTTTATATATATAAGGTTCTATATAGAACCATATGCAACACACTCCATCAATCTGAAGAAACTTTTAATCATGCAAAGGGTTCTGTGAGTGTTAATGGTTCTCTATAGGACCATTTTCTTTACTAAACAACTCTTGAAGAACAATCTTTTTCGAATGTGTACATAATGCATACTATGAGTTTTGGTATTAACTGTGTTTAATTACAGGTTGTAGTTTAAAGACAGGGAATCAGACTCTTACCCAAAGAGTTCTTGCGTTCACAATATTCAGTGTAGTCCGTATTTTCACTATACGTCAGTGCATGAACAAAATTATATACTTAATTTACAGTTGTCTGCACACATCTGGGCTTTTTATGCTAAAGATTATAATCTATGGCTGTGTCTCAAACCGTATATACCATACTAAATAGCATGTCAATTCAGTACACCGCCAACAACGCGGTTACTATTTAGAACATACTATTTAGTACGTTAGTATGCGGATTGAGACACAGCCTATGCCTGAAAGAAGGCGCGTGCACAGACTAAGAGAAACAAGGTTCACCCTGAAACCGACCTTAAAAAACACCGGCTCTTAGAAATACTGTCGCGCTGTGCTAATAAGCGGTTAAGAGTTAAAGGTAATGTGGTGTCTTACTGAACGTTTTACATAAACTTTTATGTCACTCACATCATGTTGAGCTATGACAACTACGTTAGCGAGCTAAGTTAGGATAGCTAACCTAAGAAGGCTCGCTAGCTAACCTAGTTGGCTAACGAACGTCTGTGCGCTTGCTTCAGATTAAATAACGTTAGCTTGCTAGCTAGCTAGCTGTTTAAATGACATGACTAACTAAGTAGTTGTATGTACAGACCTGCGAATGGTTTTATACAGCTTATTTACTTAACGTTACCTAATAAGAATTAGCTATTTTACTTCTCTCAGAATTTGGAAATTAATTTAGCTAACGTTACCTAACTTAATTTGCGCTTGTTTCTGAAAAGCCTGTATGCTAATGTGAACGATTTCGCGGACTGGGTAATTTAGTTCAACCAGCTCTGACGGTTTTTAGATGGTTGGCAGTGCTTCAACTGGTGAACAACGTGAGGATTTTGGTCGTGAGAGTTTACAGCTGAACAAAGATTTAGAGAAAATGACAGAACAAATGGAGAATATTTCAGGTAACATAGGCCAAATCAGTGTATAAGTTACCTCGCTAGTTTTAAGTTTATGTAAATGTTGCAGCGCACTTACTCCTGTTTCCTTGTGTCTGTCTACTCGCAGTGCATTTGACTTGGATGGCTTACGATACGGTCGTACTGCGTACTGACCCCCAGCTTGCAAAATCCCTCAAGAGGTTGGAGGATGAATACCTTCGTTGTGAAGCTGTTATACGCGGCTCCGCAGACAAGAAACATGGAGATGTCCACTCTGCCGTTTTAAACCAGAAGGCAGCCCAGGAGTAGATGCTAATCTGTTTCTGTACACAGCTTGATGTTTCTGTTATTCATTTGTTGTTGTCATTGCTTTCGTAGTTCATGAAAATTTGTAAATACAGCACTAGTAGTTTCATTAACAGTTGATTTTCCCGAGCATGTACCTTGAAAGTTGATTTTCCTGAGTAAAAACCAATAAAAAAAACGTAAATAAAATCTTAAGTCTCATTGGAATTGGTTTAATCACCAGTGCACACCAGAAATAAAATGTTTTTTTGGCTAATTGTTTGGAACTTTTATTCTCAATCTGTTTGCATTTCAGTGGTTATATGGTTATATTGAAGGGTGATTAAACTGCATACAGCTTCAGTATATCCATTCTGTTGGCTTATGCAGGGAATTTATTTTAGATGACACAATCTGAAGATTGTTTATTATTTTTATGGGTGCAATACATGCATAACTTTCATGTATTAATTTGAATGCTTTTGTACTTTGTTACAGATGGAGAAAGCAGAAATGGCCGCAGGGAGCAGCGAGCATGGTGCTTCTCTTGACTTGAATTACATATTGATGCAGCTGGATTCTTCTTCTGCAAGTTTGGATCAGTTGGAAGGTGTGAACTGCAAAGTCAAACTTTCACATTTTGATCATGCTGACCTTTTGGCTGAGTAGATTATTGATTTTGTGAAGAAACAAAATAATATAAAAAATCTGGCCTGTATTTTTGTTATTTTTCAGTTACTTATACTATTGGCCTTAGACAATCCAAAATGCATGACTGGCTTTTACCTTGATTGCAGTGGAGATTGGAGGATGTGCTGTTTACACAGTAAATGATCACTTACTGTACACACAAAGAAAAAGCAATGGGATTTTTTGTGATATCATGGAAGAACCACTTTTGGTTCCTTAACAAAGTTAAAAACAGGATTTGTGTGTGAAGAACCTTTTAAAGGTTTAAAGAACCTTCACTTGATGTAAGAGTAAGAGTTCTTCCTAGAGCCTATACACTAAGTGTAGATTCTTTAAAGTTTAAAAACGTTGTTCATTCTCACACTTCTGATTTACGAAAATGGTTTTCTTAAGAACCATCCATCAGAGGTCTTTAGGGAAACAGAAGTGGTTCTACTATGCAAAGAACCATTTTTGCCACCTTGAACTCAGTACCCTGAAAGACTTTGTAGGCCTTTAAGTAGAGCTTTACTTATTGGAGTGGCAGTTTGTAATGTTTTTCTTCGATATGTGTGGCAGGCCTGTCTACTGCAGGACATAGCTGAATACAACAGAAGGCTGACTCTTAAGAAAGACCTGATAAGAGTATGACAGCACTCTGTCCTAGGGCCAGTGCCATCTTTATGTCGCTTAGTAGAGCTTTCAGTTATGATGCAGCAGGTCACGGGTTTGCAGCCCGCTTGGGGCAAAACTCCCGTTACACTAGTGCTGTGACCCAGATCAACATCTGCTGATGCCTATCAGCTGTGGGGGTTGCTGTAGATGAAAGAGAAGTCAAAAGAGAGGTGATACATGATGTCGTAGTGGAGGACACTTACAGAAAGGCTAAATTAGAGTTCTATCCTAGGAGCAGTACTTTTGTTCCAGTGTACAGTCTCACTTACTGCAGATGTCAGGGAAATGTTTTAGAAAGATTGAAAAAGTGAATTTCATTATTCTCAATAAAATGGTACTGTGATCATAAGGGCATACTGAGACTGTGGATTGGGTTTGAGCCCAAGCTGTGTCAGGTGCTGCTGCTGGACTGCTTTTGCAGGACTTTAACAGGAAGGGAAGCATTCTTTATCACCTCACTTCCTAGTATTGAACATCATGCCAAATGGTTATATAGGAGAGTTAGTAGTCATGTTCCTGTGGTTCATTCAAATACTGCATGTCAGTTACTTATAAAAGAAATACTGGCACACTGATCATGTATCAGTAGATCATGAGTAGGTAATGTATCAGTTCTGGTCTTCACCATTCCAGAGTGAATGCATTCTTGTATTATACTCTGGGGAAAGAGTCATACTACATGAGGTATTATCAGTAACCATATTGCAGAGATTTTTTATGTATGTATTTATAAAGAAAATAAAAAGCATTGACCTAAAGCTATGTTTCCTGAGCTTTCAATATGCTTGTGCTAGATCACAGGAATATTGTTTGCCATGAGAATGCAGGTACAAGATGATGTGGTCAGCGCTCACAGACTATTGTTAACTGTTATTTCATTTTTTTTATCCCATGGTCATATAATAGTGTGGTTATCTTTGACTACTTTAAACCAGTATTTCTCAATCCTACTGGTGGGGACCTGCTGCTCTGCACAGTTTCAGTTATTCCCTGTCTGAACGCACCTCAACCGATTATCATTCATGAGTTGGATCAGGAGTGTTAGGGCTAAAAATTAGTTGAAACTGCAGCCCCCAGGAGCAAAATCAAGAAATATTGCTTTAAACTTTGGTACATTTTTTTCATTTTCAGTGAAGACTCAGCTGTTGCAGTGTCATCTTACTGTGTCCTTTACACGCCCTGATAAGTCAGCATGTCTGAACTCTGGTGCAGAGGACTTAACGTGGTTGACAGCAGTTTCAGAAGTGGAAAACTGAAGAGGTAATTTTTGTGACATGGTAATTAAATTTTCAGTTGACTTTATTTACATTTGTAATACCAAGTGAAGTTAAACATTAAACATGCAGTCAAGTATAAAGATAAAAGTAATTTGATAAGCATGGGGCATTCTTAAACTTGCTATCCCCAAAAAGTACCAGACCAGTGCAAGTACACTTTTATACTTTATTTACACTAAAAGTCCATGCTAGTGCACAGTAAAACAAAGAAACAATCCTCTAAGACTGTGAGTGCTTTGACTGTTTGCTCTGAGCTGAAAGCTTTTCTTCTGCTCCTCAGAAGTGTGTGGGTTCACGCATTGCTGGATATATTAGACAGCACTGATGCTGAGCTCCAGTCCCACGTTCCATTGCATCTATCAGCATCAGGTGTGTGGTTGTGTGGTGTGTGACCATTTCTCTCACACTAGGGAAACTCTGTAGCACATGAACCATTGATTGGATGTTAATCAGCCAGAAGTTCAGTGAGCGTTTTAGATAAATTAGCGAATGACAGTGTTAAACCATTCTACTGCTCTACTACAGAAGCTGCTTTTTTGTAATTAGAGTAAAGGTCATGATTTATATCTATGTCAACTGCTCACCTCTGTACCACTTAAGCCTGTGCCCAAGGAGTAGCCATCCTTGTTTCCATGGAAACGGATCTGGACGTTGTACACTTTTTGTTTGTTCAGTATCATTAGTGTATATGGCTGATCTGTGAAATTTTTAGAGCTGTCTCTTATGAGGAACGTGCCATCCTGAATACATGCATTTAAAAAAAAAATACAAGAACACATTGTTATGTGATGTTATGTTAGCATTGGTGCTAGTGGTTTTTGTAAAAAGGCCACCGAAAAAGAAACTCATGTTTGAGATGGTTTCCTTTATATTGTGTTACTCTAATAAACAAGATATGCTGTGCAGTCACATAACTGAAAACCTTTGTAACGCTGATATGTATAAACACACACATAAATATCCAGTGACACAGAGACCCCAGTAACATGAAGCAGACAGGCCAGATTTTTCTACTGCAAATTCAGGGATTTTCATACAACACTGTAATGCCACACCCACTATTGTGTTGGTATATAATGGAATGCAGTATATCTTGGAATGTAATAGTGGACTTATTTTCATGTCAGTGAGGTTTTAGCATATTTAGCATTATTCATATTCAGAGAATACAGTGATACTTGGGGGTGGGAGTCTAGACAGGAAAAATGTCAGGTTTAGAAAATTTTTGTTTACTATAAGACACGCTAACAGTGATTCTTTTTTTTTTTTCTCATAATTTTTCACAAAATCTGCAAGACCTGGAGTTCTTAATACAGGCAAAAACGCCAACTACAGAATGACGCATGACTTCAGAGATCTATACATCTGTTTTTATTCTCATTGTTGATACACTAACGGCTATTCCTGGGGTGACTGTGCCACTAATTTTGATATTTATAATTGCTGCGTTCATATACATGTATGTAGACAACACACAGTGTGTAATAATTCTTGTTTTTGTCTGTTTCTTTCTGCTTTACATTTTTAAAACCCAGTCTTTGGCAAACAAAAGAACATCTTTTTTTCTTGACCCTTTCGTCACTCACCTTGTTTATTTGTCTCAGAGTGACTTCAGCTTCCCCTCGTGTCATTGGTCCTACATACCACTGAGGGTCCATGTCCTGCTATTAGATATTCACGGTCACAGGTTAGGTATTCTGTGTGTTCAGATTTGTTTATGTTTAAGATAGCTGCATCAAATATTAGACAGTGCATGTCATAGATTGCCTTCTGTTCATACTGATGGTCATTGGACTCACTACACAACACAACTCGTGTTACAACATTGCCATCTTGTGGTTGTGTAGACAACTGACACCCTGTCGCTTGACATGTATTTGTTAGATTTATTATTCATGACATTTATTTGAAATCATTAGAACTGCCTGTACCTGAGCCTCTTGGGAATTTTGGACCATTGAATTTTGTTGTTCTGGAAGGTGGAAAGAGCTCTCATGCTGATTGGTACCAAATCTATGTTAAGACAAGATTAAGAAACAGCATGTGTTCAAAATAGTTTCAGTGCTCTTACATGGCTTTGGAAAATTAATTTAAGGTTTTTGTTGATTTTAAACATACATACCTTGCTATGGGTAATTTGGGTAACTGTGAAGCTGATTGTAAGTCATTTCTTGTGTTCATAGGGTGGCATCCTTCTTCTAAAAGTTTAAGTGATTACAGCAAATGTAAATAGGAGCATTTTGTAAAGATAATTACTCATAATTTTAGGATGTCCCATATTAATGATGTGTTACAAATTGGATTAATTATGGCTTAAACCAGTTATACCTGATCTGTCTTGGCTGGTTTTTGAGAAGCTTGTTGATCGTGGTTTGGTCCTGCGGTCTATATGAGGTGCTGCTT